TACTCAGACCACTCCAGACTATCTAATATTTATATACGTTATACAACCATTACCTATGGAACTGTTCCATCATTTCTTCTATATAATTTTTTATGTTCACCTACATCATATTTCAGTTACTGTCTGATCTATATTTTAACTTCACAAATACACAGAACTCATCATTTGCTTTGTCGATGCAACTTACACTTACTGATAAACAGAATGGACCCTAAACATCGCAGTCAAAGTAATCAGATAATGATTCCAGAAAGACGCTAGAAAGAGGCCACGTTATCCAAACAGGAACGAAGAAATGAAATAAATTGAATTTGGATATATATATATATATATATATATATATATATATATATTAATACGTCATTACTAAAATTAGAATACAAAAGTTACTGAATCAACCATTCCACATCATACTTTACAAAGTTTAGATCAACAATGTTTAGTTCAGATGGTCATTTATACATAATTCTTTGATGGCCACAAGCAAGAAAATAAGTGATTCATCCACTTCAAACCGGTGTCTATAATATATCTGTGTGGGAAATTATTTCAAATGGTTATGTATAAAACGTGGAATGGGTAACAGCTTTGATAAAAAGAATGTGAGAACACAATGCTTAAACAGTCAAACCAAGACCATAACGAAGGAAAATAAATAAGATATACATTTTTGAAGAAATCAAAGCTTGGGATAAAAACTCCAACCCACATACTAGAAGGGATACCCGGTAGGTACAAGAGATATAATAAGATACCTGCTGAGTAATCAAGTATTAGATATAACACAGAACATTATAACCATAACGTAAATAGATAGGTTACCATAGGGACGACAGAGACAAAAGTCCTAGTAAAACTGTAGTTTACAAATCTAAAATTTACAGGCACACTAATACGTATTAAAACGAAATATGTTAAATACACACAGGTCTGTAATGTAATGAAATGAATCTGTGTAAAACAATTGAAATAATTTGATAAAAATAAAAAAAAATCATATGTATAGAAATATTACTGAAAATAAAACATGTATAAAAAAGTCTAAAAACGGATCATCACATATTGTAAATACGCTCCCTCGTCACCTTCTACACCATTATAAAGAAACTGTAAAAGTAAACAAAACAAAGAATCAGTGAACAAAGGTTGGCAGATTACATAATTATATTGACTTAAGATAATCTTGATAATCCGATAATCTCGACAAATTACATAATTATATTGACTTAAGATAATCTTGATAATCCGATAATCTCGACAAATTACATAATTATATTGACTTAAGATAATCTTCAAAAATCCAAATTACGACAAATTACATAATTATATTGACTTAAGATAATCTTCAAAAATCCTCGACAAATTACATAATTATATAGACTTAATATAATCTTGATAATCCGATAAACTCGACAAATTACATAATTATATAGACTTAAGATAATCTTCAAAAATCCTCGACAAATTACATAATTATATTGACTTAAGATAATCTTGATAATCCGATAATCTCGACAAATTACATAATTATATAGACTTAAGATAATCTTCAAAAATCCTCGACAAATTACATAATTATATAGACTTAAGATAATCTTCAAAAATCCTCGACAAATTACATAATTTTATTGACTTAAGATAATCTTCAAAAATCGACAAATTACATAATTATATAGACTTAAGATAATCTTGATAAATCCTCGACATAATTATATAAATTACATAATTATATTGACTTAAGATAATCTTCAAAAATCCTCGACAAATTACATAATTATATTAGACTTAAGATAATCTTCAAAAATCCTCGACAAATTACATAATTATATAGACTTAAGATAATCTTGATAATCCATCGACAAATTACATAATTATAGACTTAAGATAATCTTGATAATCCGATAATCTCGACAAATTACATAATTATATGACTTAAGATAATCTTCAAAAATCCTCGACAAATTACATAATTATATAGACTTACATAATTTTAGGATAATCTTCAAAAATCCTCGACAAATTACATAATTATAATCTTGATAATCCGATAATCTCGACAAATTACATAATTATATTGATAAAGATAATCTTCAAAAATCCTCGACAAATTACATAATTATATAGACTTAAGATAATCTTGATAATCCGATAATCTCGACAAATTACATAATTATATTGACTTAAGATAATCTTCAAAAATCCTCGACAAATTACATAATTATATAGACTTAAGATAATCTTGATAAATCCTCGACAAATTACATAATTTTATTGACTTAAGATAATCTTCAAAAATCCTCGACAAATTACATAATTATATAGACTTAAGATAATCTTGATAAATCCTCGACATATTACATAATTATAGCGACTAAAGATAATTTCCTGATAAATGTTTTGAAAATAATTTTCCGCACACAGATCGCGAGACACAAATTAATAACAACTATACATGTAAAAGTGTTTCTGATTCATGTAAAATAAAACATAAAAGTAAGTAAACAACGATTTGTAGAATAATTATCTTTGTAGATCACAGAGACATACATATAAGGTAGCATGATTCACTGTTTCCTCTGCATATTGCATGACATTACCATAAAATAAGAGTATAAAGTCAACTACCGATAACAATAAGTTTGTATAATATTAGAACGACCTGTCGAATGTATAACAAACTGTAACGTCTAACAATGGAATGCTATCAGAGAAAAATCAGACGAAAACAACACAACAGCATGTAAAGGAAGTCTAAATGCATATCCAGTACCTAATCAGTATGGTATAACATAGGAACATAATTATTGTAAAACCGTGTAAAAAGATAGGTAAAATTGAACACACATACACAACTATTGTTCGTGAAAAGTCAGCGGCAAATTTCAATACATCTTCAATCATAATAATAACAAAACAAAATGTGTCGATTACATATCGAACAAGATCGAGGATTACTCTGACCCATTAACACCATGACGTAAGTCTTCAGATCTATATAGGTAGATACGAAGAAAAAAGGCAGATATCTTTGACATGGAGCTTTTGGTTGAGAAGATATGAAGAACTCTTTTGTTCTAGATTCTGATAATTTATACAAAACATCGGTTTTATAAACTTTATACATCAGATAGTGGATGTGCTTCGAACCTCGGGAAGACTTTAATAAACATGGGCATGTTTTACTCTAGAACATCATTTCATGAAAATTAAAGTGCCAAGTTGTTCCATAGGAGCTTTGTAAACAACCGATCAACAACAGGAACCGCAGCAGTAGTTAGTTTCACCAGTATATAAATAGTAAAGACAACATTGCTATATAGCACGATATAACATTACCACGGACGTAGTGCCCACTTAAACAGTAATAATTAAAAGGAAACAGACATTTACGTCAACTGCATAGATCCCGACTATGATAAAAGGTCTATTGTTTTGGACAGAAGTACCATAACTACGAAAATGACGTCAGCAGTAGATATGTTCCATAACAAATCAAAAACGTCACGCTTGAAAATGAACTATGATAACGAAAATGACAACTTCCGGTTGGATGTATAATACACATCACTTGTAATGATGACCTACACTCCGAAAATGACGTCATTGGTTGAGGTTTATCATAGTACCGAAAATTATGTCACAAGTACAGATGTATCATCATAACGAAAGGGGTATCACTGATAGAGGTATTACAGCAAGAATGACGTCACTTATACAGACATAACATAATAAATGTCAACAATTTCCATCAACAATAAATTTTCGCCACGGTCAGAATTCACACCTCTAATTGGTTGAGACGCAAGTACAAAAATTATCTAATTTTTAACTCTCAAATATTACATATAATTCCACGTCACCAACGCCCCACCCGGTTAGTGAAAACGATTAGCTATCCTAACCGTATACCAGATTTCAAGTATCTTTCAATATCTCATTAGGACTGGTGATACAGATTCACTTGTGACTCAGCAGCGTATATGGACATATAAAAAGGTATATAATAATGCTAATATAATTAGCCTTAAAGGTATCATGGAAATATCCTATATCATCAGCATTCAATATATATAAGAAGATCGTGTCTATTTATGAACAGCTGTACACACGGGCCACAGGTTAATTGTCGTCCATACGTAGCAGGTTACATCTGATCAGAGTTACATCTCTGGAATCTTAGGAGTTTTTAAAAAATGTACTTCACATAAATGATGAAATTTCAGACGGACATTTATTAAATACAGTATAATTCCTAAATATAGTTTTTATATATAAATGACATCTATTGATGTGGACCTCTGTCATAGACAATTGATATACAAGATATATACGGTTCATTCATCAGACTTACTGTCCTCCAGTTATAAATTGTTTAACCTAAAATCCCCCATCTTGCGAAATGTGTAATTAACTTGTCTTACTCTGACGAAAAATGTGATGATACAAATACAATAAAGGAGAAATTGTAATCTAGAAACATTAAGTATATATAATATCACTTAAGATATCTAAACACATACTGTTCCCTGTATGACTGTGTCCTCCCTGTGACATAACGGATTATGATTTATAAAGAATATATACAGATTTTGACAACATTGAACCAATCGTACCTATACAATGAAATTCATTGATTTAACTATACATATCTTTACACACGCTCCAGACATACATACCTATATCTATACAGAAACAACAGTAATACCTGCCATTGTGTTCTCAATTTCAAGTTCCACTATTTCCCCAAAAACACACACCTTTCTGCAAAGTTTCTTAATCTCGAGGGGTTCTTACTTTCGTTATTTTCAAGAAGGTTGTGATATCACGAAAATTGATAAATCGAAAATAAAATTCTTAAAAGGAAAACCATAGTTTCTTTCATAACTTCTGTGAAAAATATTCGTTTTTGTACAAGCTGTTGGTAAAATCGCAAAACATGATAGGGACAACCCTTCAGGATGGCAGATCCTTGAAGTGTTTCTTAGTTACCATTATTGCATTTCAGTACGTGTTGTATGAATGATACACTGATGTTAATATTGGTACATTATACTTCACACAACCATCAATCTACAAATGACATGGTCTGACATGGCAATATTCAAATCTTAATCACGTGTCCTAGATCACATGATAACTTGGCCCTAGCAATTGTCCTTGATCACGTGACCTATCGCCCTATGCCACGTGCAATAGTTGACGTGATAGTTTGGTCACGTGTGATTTATAATTTGTCTAGGGCTTCTGTAAATGTTAAGATCTCCACGAGGTTCATACCCAATTTCTTCTCCAAGGAAGCATAGTAGAATTCTGGGGCCTGAAACAATAAGCACCAGTTTAATCACGTTATCATAGCACATTGTTGTAATTAATCAGCGATTGATAAAATAAGTTATTTTGTTGCTTTAATAGTTTCACACATGACGTTCTAACAGCTGGAACAACAACTCGACATCTGGTTGGTCTACAGATTCAATTTTTTCTTGTACATCATTATACAGTCAGTGATGTAATATATGCTATTGTTAATACACCTAATACATGACGGTTTAACAATTGACGGAGTAGCAACTAATTCATCTGTCTACAAACCAAAAAACATAGTTCAGCTCTGACTCTTTCTGTCAATCAATGACTTCCTCTAAACGTAGACCATGAACGTTTTAATTTGTTTTTAAATTCGGTGTGTGGAACCTTCCGTCCCAACAATACTTCTCTAAACGTAGATCATGAAAAGTCAAATTTGTCCTTCAATTCAATGTGTGTAACCTCCAGCTCCAACCATTTTTATTTTATATCGTTACGTCTGCATGACACAAGACCAATATAATATTTCACAAAAAGCACTGTAAAGTCTTGTAACCAAGTTCAAATCAAGTCTGGTAAAACTTAAAAACAAGAATGGTAAGGGTGTCTGTTATTAATTCCTAATTTAATTAAGATCAAATATGACATCTTGATAAACTTTTTGATTTGTTTAGATAAAAGAAAGAAAGAAACACTAAACCAGGTAACTCATTCAAGTGAACACATTAAAATTTCAAAATTACGATATATTATATACAGTAATTAACCACAACAAGTAAACATGACGTCAGCATTATATGTGTAAACATTACCTCTATTTTCATCCTCTGTAGTTGTACCAGTAACTTCCCGTCAAACTGAGCCAGAGACGGAACACACCTGTGACCACGAAAACACGCTATTGATAAGAACTGTAACTTAACATGGATGCATGCCATCAATCGCTTGACAAAGTTGAAAAACTATCATTCTGATCAATACAAAAACAATTTCCCAGGTATAATGCCGCTTTTCATTCTGTATAAATTATCAAAAACATCTGTTTTCTCCAATGTAGTGTACTATAAAACAAGTTATTCGGCCTCACTGAACTGTTCTACCCAACTTCAGCCAAGCAAATCATGTAGTAGATTACTGATCAAACACTCGCCTGTATGGAAGAGAATGAAACTAATACTGCTTAGCACAACAGAAACAAGACATAGGCGTTAGCATTGTATTAAAAGTGTCCAAACTTTTTTCTGTCACTGTGACATGCGATCCTTACTAAATAATTATAAAGATTTGTTTCATAATTTGATTTTCTTATCTTTTATGTCATAATCCGATTTTTTGAAGACAGAACACCGAATTTATGCTCACTTCAATGTTTGTTGTCAATGTAAGTAATTATCACTTTAGCACGAACCATATATATAGATATATAATTGTATCCCTAAATTGACACATAGAGGATGGGAGGTCTGTTCTCAATCTACTGATGTACCTACCCATCCAGATTACTCGGACATAGCCAGGAGATGATGAGAGGTTTGTATCAATCTACTGCTGTACCTACCCATCCAATTTACTCTGACATAGCCAAGAGAGGATGAGAAGTCTGTATCAATCTACTGCTGTACCTACCCATCCAGTTTACTCTGACATAGCCAAGAGAGGATGAGAGGTCTGTACTCAATATACTGCTGTACCTACCCATCCAGTTTACTCAGACACAGTCAGGAGAGGATGAGAGGTCTATACTCAATCTACTGCTGTACTTACCCATCCAGTTTACTCAGACATAGCCAAGAGAGGATGAGAAGTCTGTATCAATCTACTGCTGACACAGCCAGGAGAGGATGAGAAGTCTGTACTCAATCTACTGCTGTACTTACCCATCCAGTTTACTCTGACAAAGCCAGTTACTGACGTCCTCTGTCGTCATCCTGTAGGCTTGTGAGGAGGTAGACGTACTGCCGGGAGAGGAGGCCGCTGTAGACGCCGAGGTGGCAAGAATAGGACCATCTGTCACTTCTAAAACAACCATTTTACAGTGCACAGTTTTATAAGAGGCTGGCGTTGGGTGCATTATATTAATGAGAGAACTATATTTCAAGACGCTGTCTTCAATTTTTACATTAATTATTATGTACTCGTGTTCATTTCTTTTGCGCCACAGATGTATCAATTTTGAATTCTTTTAACACAAAATGGTTCAAATTGATGTTGCAGGTTCGTCTATTGTTATATAACAAGAGTTGCTATGAAACACTGAAACATCAAGCAGTTTATATTACATATTACCTATACACAGTCAACTTCACTTAAAATGTTTAACTTCAATCAAGCACAATATCATATACTGATCCACTATGTTTAAATGCTTTACCATATTTAGATTAGTAAGCCAAAACCAAATAAAAAATATAAAGTTATAGCATTTTTCAATTACAAAGGTCAAAGTAATAACTTCCTATGAGTGAATAAACAGCACGAGACAAATTCCGCTTTCAATATTTTACCGGTGTTAGTAGAGAATGTGTACGTAAATAAATGATAACACAAAAGAAGTGTGTGATTCTGACCTTTTCCTGGAGTAGCCGATGGTAAGGCAAGCCTCCCCATTCCCTTTAGTTCCTTCAGGAGTCCATTCCAAGGCTTCTCGAAATGGTATTTACCACTGAAGTCGAAGTAGAGCTTTGCTCCAAGAATAGCTCCCAGCCAGCCATCTGGCCGATATTTCATCTGCATCATAAGTGGGATATAGTCTTTCCTTAGTTGGAAAGTGTATTCCGCCTCTGAAACGAACAGTTATGGTACGTTAGCACTTAGTCATGACACTACAGCCTTTATATCACTTAGTCAGGAAACTACAGCCCATATATCACTTAGTCATGACACTACAGCCCATATATCACTTAGTCATGAAACTACAGCCCATATATCACTTAGGAAACTACAGCCCATATATCACTTAGGAAACTACAGCCCATATATAGAAACTACAGCCCATATATCACTTAGTCATGAAACTACAGCCCATATATCACTTAGGAAACTACAGCCCATATATCACTTAGGAAACTACAGCCCATATATCACTTAGTCATGACACTACCGCCCATATATCACTTAGTCATGACACTACAACCCATATATTACTTAGACAGGAAACTACAGCCCATATATCACTAAGTCATGAAACTACAGCCCATATATCACTTAGTCGTGACACTACAGCCCATATATCACTAAGTCGTGAAACTACAGCCCATATATCACTTAGACATGAAACTACAGCCCATATATCACTTAGGAAACTACAGCCCATATATCACTTAGTCGTGACACTACAGTCCATATATCACTAAGTCGTGAAACTACAGCCCATATATCACTTAGACATGACACTACAGCCCATATATCACTTAGTCATGAAACTACAGCCCATATATCACTTAGTCATGACACTACAGCCCATATATCACTTAGTCATGACACTACCGCCCATATATCACTTAGTCATGACACTACAGCCCATATATCACTTAGTCATGACACTACAGCCCATATATCACTAAGTCATGACACTACAGCCCATATATCACTTAGTACTGAAACTACAGCCCATATATCACTTAGACATGAAACTACAGCCCATATATCACTAAGTCATGACACTACAGCCCATATATCACTTAGTCATGACACTACAGCCTTTATATCACTTAGTCATGACACTACAGCATTTATATCACTTAGTCAGGACACTACAGCCCATATATCACTTAGGAAACTACAGCCCATATATCACTTAGTCATGACACTACCGCCCATATATCACTTAGTCATGACACTACAGCCCATATATCACTAAGTCATGACACTACAGTCCATATATCACTTAGTCATGACACTACAGCCCATATATCAGTTGGCACTCTGTTAGTGACACACCTTACCTAGTCTACAGTCCATATATTAGGACACTACTCATATATCACTTAGTACTACAGCCCATATATCACTTAGTCATGACATACAGCCCATATATCAAGTCATGACACAGACAGCAGCCCATATATCACTTAGTCATCTACGGCATATATCACTTAGGCCATCGCCCATATATCACTTAGTGACAGCCCATATATCACTAAGTCATGACACTACATCCATATATCCTTAGTCATCCTCTCATATATCATGTCTGTTAGTGACACACACATCAGTTAGGACCTGCAGTCTGTCAAATAATGTATACAGCATTTACATTTATATGTCTCTAGACCCTCCATATCTGTCATAAGTACAGAAAAAGAATCTCCACTCCTTCAACCTGTCAAATCACACCTAATTATATAGTAAATATTTACTGTAGAACCTCATCCTATCATAATAGAAGAATTCCTCGGTAGTGGGTGTGTCGCCTGCCGAGCAGGTTTATGGAGACAAGTTTTTTAATTTGTTTTGCTCCAAATACAGCAGGTACTGCGACAACCCACTGCAAAGCAATCTCAAACAAACCTCTTTGGTTAAGAAGCATTGTACATTTGTATGAAGTTTGAGTCAAATTGTCAAAAGATATCTAAGTAATCACACAATACCAATTTTCTTTTTACATGTACAATGACCTTGATCTTTGACCTTTTGACCCGAAAAGTAATCCCCAGCAAGTATCTTTGGTAAGGTTGCTGTATGAAAAAAAATTGAAAGTAACAATGGCCTTGACATTTGACCTTTAAACTTGAAAGGCAATCCAAAGCAAGCCCCTTTGGTAAGGAAGCACTGCAAGAAGTTTGAGTGAATTTGGTTCAAAGAAAGTCAGTACATGACAACAATCTCCTTTATATGTAACATTGTCCGTGACCTTTGACTTCAAATCCTTAAAAGCAATGACCTTTGACTTCAAAACCTTAAAAGCAATCCCAAGGAAGTACTTCAGATAAGGAATAACTGTATGAAGTTTAAGGTAGATAAGCCAAAATGTACTCAAGTTATCGCGAAAAAAAATCAAATTCCTCTCTTTAGAAACGGTGATCTTAACCTTTGACCTTCGGATCTGACAAGCAGTCCCAATTTAAAAACAATGAAAATAATTATTTTCATTACGGACTTCAGTTCAGTTTGTAGTTCAAAGATATCAATTTTGCATTTTTAAGTGTGGACTATTTCTTCTGTCGGAAGACTTTCATAGAGCGTAGTGATCCCTCTGCCGGAAATAGAAACTTGCAAAGCATATTTGTACGTGAAAGCAATGGGTCTATCTGCCCCCAATAACTCTAGACCCTTAAACTGTTAAATTATATATAACCGTACAACATCTTACGTAGTATCTTAATAAAACGAGCTCAAATAAAACAATGTCACAAAATATAAACAATTTCTTCATACCATGTCTAGGAATGCGTAATCCTTATATATTTTGTTGATAGGCCTTTCCAGAAACTTGTGTGATTTTTAAATATTTGTTATTAAGTCTGTTTTGTACTATACCCTGATTTTTGTTTATCGTTTTTCTGGTGCTTTGTACCACTCTTAAGATTCTGTCGGTATTTTCTTCAGCTTGTTTTGAACATTTCATTATTTGTACAAAACATCTGTGATGTTTCCTTACCTTGAGTCTCTCTCTGATCTTGAGTACGATATCTTTTTCGTTCCAGGAATAACTGATAAACACGTGACCTTTGTTTTTCCTCCCTGATTTTGGTCCTGTATCATTAAAAGTGTGCTTATTTAATACGTCCAGTCAAATCAGGACAAAAATGTCATATACATATATGTCAGTATACATATATTGAAGCAAATGTCACTTTAACAAAAATAAACACGAAGTAATCGGTCATAGCATGCATGTCTGTCGTCTACGGAAAGAAATGTTCCCTTTCTAAAAGCCATATCAGACTGAATGACAAGCTTCATGATGTTACAGAGTTATGATGTTTGGATTCTCATACCAAAAGGTTACTGTCAGTATATAAGGCCGTATCAATGTCCTAGACATCTATTGTACATAATTTTGTATTTCATCTTACTACAGGATAATACAGTTGATATCATGAATCAGCAGTACATACATCATTTGGTACAGAAAACGGTATCCTGTTATCTCTACACAAAGAAGAAATGTCGACGAAAATTAAATCATTCCAATGAACCATTCATGAATTGGATTGAAACAATTTAACTTTCCTTTTGGCGTGTCGTCGAGCTATATAAGGTTACCAGTCATACTGTTTACAAGGCAAATTATCCAGTTCTACTGAAAACGATAAATAACGGACGGTTCTGCGTGCCATGTTTCCTATAGGGATGTCGTTTTATGAAAATAGATGAACTCTTTTTGTTAATGACACCACACATACCCATTGAGTTTTCTCTCGGTTTTAACTTACAAAAACTACGACCTTTATATCTCAAATAACGTGCAAGATGTATGTTTCACGAGAATCCAAGCAATATCTAACTTCAGAAGACATAATCCGGTAAAAATGTATAAGGAGGTTAAACAAGGAACAAACACTGCACCACTTCACCACAACCTATGTACAGCTATACAAACACTGCACCACTTCACCATAACCTATGTACAGCTATACAAACACTGCACCACTTCACCATAACCTATGTACAGCTATACAAACACTGCACCACAACCTATGTACACTATACAAACACTGCACCACCACCATAACCTAACCTATGTACAGCTATACAAACACATAACCTATGTACAGCTATACAAACACAAACCATAACTATGTACACCACTTCACCACAACCTATGTACAGCTATACAAACACTGCACCACTTCATCATAACCTATGTACAGCTATACAAACACTGCACCACTTCACCATAACCTATGTACAGCTATACAAACACTGCACCACTTCACCATAACCTATGTACAGCTATACAAACACTGCACCACTTCACCATAACCTATGTACAGCTATACAAACACTGCACCACTTCACCATAACCTATGTACAGTTATACAAACACTGCACCATAACCTATGTACAGCTATACAAACACTGCACCACTTCACCATAACCTATGTACAGCTATACAAACACTGCACCACTATACAAACACTGCACCACTTCATCATAACCTATGTACAGCTATACAAACACTGCACCACTTCACCATAACCTATGTACAGCTATACAAACACTGCACCACTTCACCATAACCTATGTACAGCTATACAAACATTGCACCACAACCTATGTACAGCTATACAAACACTGCATAACCTATGTACAGCTATACAAACACTGCACCATAACCTATGTACAGCTATACAAACACTGCACCACTTCACCATAACCTATGTACAGCTATACAAACACTGCACCACTTCACCATAACCTATGTACAGCTATACAAACACTGCACCACTTCACCATAACCTATGTACAGCTATACAAACACTTCACCATAACCTACGTACAGCTATACAAACACTTCACCACTTCACCATAACCTATGTACAGCTATACAAACACTTCACCACTTCACCATAACCTATGTACAGCTATACAAACACTGCACCACTTCACCATAACCTATGTACAGCTATACAAACACTGCACCACTTAACCTAATGTACAGCTATACAAACACTTGTACACCATAACCTATGTACAGCTATACAAACACTGCACCACTTCACCATAACCTATGTACAGCTATACAAACACTGCACCACTTCACCATAACCTATGTACAGCTATACAAACACTGCACCACTTCACCATAACCTATGTACAGCAATACAAACACTGCACCACTTCACCATAACCTATGTACAGCTATACAAACACTGCACCACTTCACCATAACCTATGTACAGCTATACAAACACTGCACCACTTCACCATAACCTATGTACAGCTATACAAACACTGCACCACTTCACCACAACCTATGTACAGCTATACAAACACTGCACCACTTCACCACAACCTATGTACAGCTATACAAACACTGCACCACTTCACCACAACCTATGTACAGCTATACAAACACTGCACCACTTCACCACAACCTATGTACAGCTATACAAACACTGCACCACTTACCAGCTATACAAACACTGCACCACTTCACCATAACCTATGTACAGCTATACAAACACTGCACCACTTCACCATAACCTATGTACAGCTATACAAACACTGCACCACTTCACCATAACCTATGTACAGCTATACAAACATTGCACCACAACCTATGTACAGCTATACAAACACTGCACCACTTCACCATAACCTATGTACAGCTATACAAACACTGCACCACTTCACTTTAAGCTGGTATCTGCTAAATGGTTAACACATAACGTAGCTTACGTACTTTTTGACACGTCATTCTCTCCCTTGAGAACGAACAGTGCACCGTTGACATTTTTTCTAACTTCACTATCACCACTTTCCCTGAGTTTTTCAAGTGACGTCATCATATCTGGGTGATCCACGATTTGCTGACATACGTCTTTGTCAAATGATAATGTCCAGATTGCACGTGCAGTTACAACATGTTCCTCGTCCGAATCACTCTTTAACATCTTCATAAATATCGGAAGTGCACCCGCTTCGATAATCTACATGAACATTGGCGATAAAGAATTAATGAAAAATGACTGAATTTACCGAATTTTACATAAGAAAGATTTTCTAGCATGAGATATATCAAGCATTAAATTAAAGGTAAACAAATACTATTTACATCGGAAAACTTCACCTCTGCCCCCCCCCAACTACCGTCACAATCATAACGATGAGGAACGTTATAGTAAAGACACTTCTTGTATAATACACCATCGATTAAAATCAATCATATATTATATCAGAACCATCTCCTTGGCGACTGTCTTGCTAAATGCTAAAATACAATGTCCTGTTAATTTGATATAATTCATCGTAACATATCCAAATACTGAAAGCTTGTTGGACATTGCTCAGCACTCACAACAGTATAGATTCATTGTATTTCACCTTGCAATTTTTGAAGAAAGTGTTGAAAACCTTCGGCGTGGAAGAAACCAGAAGGCACTACAATGGGAAACAGTGTAAAAACAACGTGCCCCGCCCCACTTGCTTGAGTGAACGTTTTTTCACTAAAGATCCTTAACAGATATATGTTAACATTGCACCTTCCTACATACAGTTGATCCTAGATAATATTAATAGGATAAGATTGTGATAAAGATGTGTTATATCAGTGATATAAAATAAGTCTCCTACCTTTTTTTTGTTGTTGTCGTTGACGGCCAGTTTGCCTAGACCGTCCATGAGTTCCTGAGGTGTGAAGCCCCGGTATCTCCGCCGTTCTTCCTCTATAGCTTTGTCTATGTACTTCAGCGTTCCCTCTATAGAACCTAGCAGACACATATATCTTTATCGTTAAATTCTAAAATCTTTATATTTAGACAAGGCACGCTGGTTTATATTAAATAAATCTTACCAAAGAGAGATGTCAGGAACCATAAGTCAAAATGTTTTCTTTTTCTTTTTATATTTGTATTTATTACTTCACCTAACAATTTGTATCTTACTTCAATGAATATCATGCCCAGTTACTCTCAGAAGATATTCTACATATAATGAAAACCATTTAATTTCACAGACGGTACCTGTGTCGTCCATAAGTTTGTCGTTCTCGTCCTCTTCCACGATATGTGATAAAGTTAACATCGCCATTATCTTCAGCATCTCGTGTTCTTCGTATGACTTTAGGAACTTCAGCAACACCTAGCGGCCCAACAATGTCCAAATATTTATTAATAATGATAATCACAAAGACATCCAGAAAAATTATCCTAAACCGATAACCCTAAATAAATGTGGCTCGTAAACACCCATAAAAATGACCCTGAACCGAAAACCCAAATAAATGTGGCTCGTAAACACCCATAAAAATGACCCTGAACCGATAACCCAAATAAATGTGGCTCGTAAACACCCATAAAAATGACCCTGAACCGATAACCCAAATAAATGTGGCTCGTAAACACCCATAAAAATGACCCTGAACCGATAACCCTATATAAATGTGGCTCCTAAACACCCATAAAAATGACCCTGAACCGAAAACCCAAATAAATGTGGCTCGTAAACACCCATAAAAATGACCCTGAACCGATAACCCAAATAAATGTGGCTCGTAAACACCCATAAAAATGACCCTGAACCGATAACCCAAATAAATGTGGCTCGTAAACACCCATAAAAATGACCCTGAACCGATAACCCTATATAAATGTGGCTCGTAAACACCCATAAAAATGACCCTGAACCGATAACCCAAATAAATGTGGCTCGTAAACACCCATAAAAATGACCCTGAACCGATAACCCAAATAAATGTGGCTCGTAAACACCCATAAAAATGACCCTGAACCGAAAACCCAAATAAATGTGGCTCGTAAACACCCATAAAAATGACCCTGAACCGATAACCCAAATAAATGTGGCTCGTAAACACCCATAAAAATGACCCTGAACCGATAACCCAAATAAATGTGGCTCGTAAACACCCATAAAAATGACCCTGAACCGAAAACCCAAATAAATGTGGCTCGTAAACACCCATAAAAATGACCCTGAACCGATAACCCAAATAAATGTGGCTCGTAAACACCCATAAAAATGACCCTGAACCGAAAACCCAAATAAATGTGGCTCGTAAACACCCATAAAAATGACCCTGAACCGATACCCCAAATAAATGTGGCTCGTAAACACCCATAAAAATTACCCTGAACTGATAACCCAAATAAATGTGGCTCGTAAACACCCATAAAAATGACCCTGAACCGAAAACCCAAATAAATGTGGCTCGTAAACACCCATAAAAATGACCCTGAACCGAAAACCCAAATAAATGTGGCTCGTAAACACCCATAAAAATGACCCTGAACCGATAACCCAAATAAATGTGGCTCGTAAACACCCATAAAAATGAAGATTTTACAGACTTTTCCTACTCACCTCTGTGGTTTTGCTCTCTTTGAAGAAATGTATGACGTCTGGGTTGCGGGCAATGTTGTGTACTATACTCATGGAAGACTTGACTATGTAGTACACATTCTGTAACAAGGACACACGAGTGGACAACACAGTTTAATTTTCATAAATCTGATAATTTCAAAGGAACCTGCAGTACATATTAATTCTGAACAGTACAGATACTTAAATGAATTAAAAGCTGTACATATTGGTTACGTCAAACCTCGGCACTAACCGTTCACCTGCGGTGTCTACCAGGTGAAATCTAGAAGATTATACTAATGATACACAAGTGAAGAACACTATTCACTAACATTTTTCTAAGTTACACTAAAATTAAAGACACATAGTTTTTATTTATCTCTTATACAATTAGCATATATGAAAACATGATTGTACAAGACACTCAATACAAATTCAGAGCTAGATACAGAAAAATATTGAATTAAACTTGATCCATTATCTGTTTCGTCCTTCTAGAACTCGGCAGCGATGCTAGGAGTCCTAAATATCGTAACCTAGGAGGTGAAAGAGGGAAATCTGAAGTGGTCGGACTATTTCCGGTGTATCGCATTAACCACGGAACACAGCTCACCTTATTGTTGAGGTTAGTAAGGAATGGTTGATGGTTACAGTTGGCCGTGAGGAAACGTACACCGTCCGCTTCAGCCACTGTCTGTAATAACAAAGGATTCGATTTGTATGTAATAAATCAATCACACACTTACATACCAGCTCACTTTGTTCCAAGACGCATTATGTCGCCTGGACATATATCTTCAGTATTACACCCGGCAATTTTTTTTCAAACGGTGTGATTTATAATGAAAATTCTCAACATATTCTGGTTTAGAGTCTATACCCTTAATCACTTTATAAACCTCCTTTATTGTCTGAACAAGCGGACGGTATTCATCTTATAGATCGACAAACCTACTCCACGACCTACCAGTATATAGGACCTACCAGTATATAGGACCTACCAGTATATAGTATCTACCAGTATATAGGACCTACCAGTATATAGTATCTACCAGTATATAGGACCTACCAGTATATAGTATCTACCAGTATATAGGACCTACCAGTATATAGGACCTACCAGTATATAGTATCTACCAGTATATAGTATCTACCAGTATATAGGACCTACCAGTATATAGTATCTACCAGTATATAGGACCTACCAGTATATAGGATCTACCAGTATATAGTATCTACCAGTATATAGTATCTACCAGTATATAGTATCTACCAGTATATAGGACCTACCAGTATATAGTATCTACCAGTATATAGGACCTACCAGTATATAGTATCTACCAGTATATAGTATCTACCAGTATATAGTATCTACCAGTATATAGGACAGTATATAGGACCTACCAGTATATAGGGTCTACCAGTATATAGGATCTACCAGTATATAGTATCTACCAGTATATAGGACTTACTAGTATATAGTATCTACCAGTATATAGTATCTACCAGTATATAGTATCTACCAGTATATAGTATCTACCAGTATATAGGACCTACCAGTATATAGTATCTACCAGTATATAGGATCTACCAGTATATAGGATCTACCAGTATATAGGACCTACCAGTATATAGTATCTACCAGTATATAGTATCTACCAGTATATAGGACCTACCAGTATATAGCATCTACCAGTATATAGGACCTACCAGTATATAGTATCTACCAGTATATAGGACAGTATATAGGACCTACCAGTATATAGTATCTACCAGTATATAGGACCTACCAGTATATAGTATCTACCAGTATATAGTATCTACCAGTATATAGGACCTACCAGTATATAGGACCTACCAGACCTACCAGTATATAGGACCTACCAGTATATAGTATCTACCAGTATATAGGACCTACCAGTATATAGTATCTACCAGTATATAGTATCTACCAGTATATAGTATCTACCAGTATATAGTATCTACCAGTATATAGGACCTACCAGTATATAGTACCTACCAGTACAACAATTTTGTGTGGCGATCTTAACGCGGACATTTCATCCAACAGCTACAGATCTAGAATATTACTTCAACACTTGACTGACAGAAACATGATTAATGCTGTGAATCTAACTATCCGGACGGGTCCGGCATACACATGGACAAATAAACATCACACATCAAAAACACTGATAGATTATATAGCTATTCCAGCATACTTGGAAACCTTCATTAGGTCAAGTAAAGTTGATAGTACATGCTCGTATAAAATTTCCGACCATCTTCCAATACTCGTCTCGATAGACGAAGCTGCTTTCCGTAGAACAGAAAAACAAAAGGCAAATGGATTCCCGAAGTGGATTAGAGCATCCTGCTTACAACTTGATATGTATTTAACCCAAGTGGAAGAGTTGCTTACCAATCTTCAACTGGATTCATCGTCAATCAAACATATGTCATTAGAAAACCGTCTTGAAAATATAATAAACATTATGAAGTCAGCATCTGAAGAGAACATTCCAACTGGGACATTTAGGACGTGTTTAAAACCGTACTGGAAAAAGTATCAACTTAACAATCACCATTATAATATGAGGGTAGCGAGACGTTCATGGATAGCGGAAGGAAAACCAAGGACGGAATCAAATGTGATGTACCAAATATATAAGGACAGAAAACGAGAATTTAGAAAACAAAAACGCTATGCGACAAAGAAATGGAACAAGAAAAAACAGGACGAACTAATAAATTCGGCTGAAATAGATATTCAGGAGTTTTATAAAACTGTTAGGAAACAACGTGGCAAGACGCCTATTGATAAACCTCTCGTCTACAAAGACACGGTGGCGACGGACGATCGGACAAAGTGTAACCTTTGGGCTCAGTATTACGGTGATTTATTGTCAGTGGATACAGAGGAGTTGTTTGACGTACAATTTAAAGCTGAGGTTGATGACACCATTCAAGAGCTTTTACGTTCCAATTCTTCGTACAGTGTAGATAATGTGCTTGAAGGGGAAATATCAGAAGATGAACTACAATTTCAAATAAGAAAACTGAAAACTGGTAAGTCTCCAGGGCTAGATAGAATCTGCAATGAACATATTAAATATGGCGGAAGAACCCTTGTCAAATCACTGTGCGTTATATTCAATATTGTATTGTCAATGGAATGTGTTCCACAAAGGTTTAAGGAGGGAATAGTAATACCAATTTTCAAAGGTGGGAATAAAAATCCGTCAGACCCAACAAGTTACCGCGGAATAACTCTGACATCTTCCATCGGTAAGTTATTTGAAAAAGTACTTCTGGAAAGGATAGAGAAATGGATTATACACAACAAAGTTGATTTTCCACATTCTCTACAGTTTGGATTTAGAAAAAACATGGGGGCGATCCCAGCAATCTTCACGTTAAAAGAAATAGTATCCTTTTATACCGAAAGGAAATCATCGCTCTACATCGCTTTTTTAGATAACGAGAAGGCGTTTGACAGGGTATGGCTGAATGGTCTCTTTTTGAAAATATATGAACTTGGTATACGCGGCCGGATGTGGAAAATTATCTTCAGCTCTTACATGCAAACAAAAGTATGTGTTAGACTAAAGGGAGAACTAAGCGACTTCGTACACGTGACGCGCGGTGTCGGTCAGGGAAAAGTTCTCAGCGCTTTTATGTTTAAACTGTATATTGACGGATTGATGAAGGCTATATGTGGAACAAACTGTGGCATAAACATTGTGGATAGACATATACCTGGTATCTTACTTGCTGATGACACCTGTCTGATATCCTCTAGTAAGAACGGCTTACAAAACTTAATCGAAATTTCAAGAATGTATGCCTTTAAATGGCAATTGAAATATAACGCGTCCAAGAGTGCTATCATCGTATTCAATAACCGAAACCAGTCTGCAAAATATGACTTTTCTATGGGAGGAAATACAATAGAAACAAAGGAGAGTGTGATATACGCAGGAACTGTCATATCTAATACTAATGCTGTAAATAAATGCCTGGACAGGGTTTGTCACAAACTACAAAGATCATTTCATTCTCTTCGAGATATGGGTCTTCGGTTTGGAGAAATTAATCCGATAGCGTCTTCTCTTGTCTGGAAACGTGTCATCTTACCCGCTGGCATGTATGCGTGTGAGACTTGGGGAGAAGTACGAGAGAGAAGTTTGGGCAAACTTGAGGTAACCCAGCGGAAGTGCTGTCGAATCCTTCAAGGATTTGACAAAAGTTCCCCGTCAGAAAGTACCATTGAAACCCTTGGTATTTGTAGGCTAAAACATTACATAGATAAGTACCGATTATTGTTTTTTGGAAGACTGTGTTTGACAGATTTCACCAAAATACACAAACAGTTGTTTAATTTTAACATTGGAATATTGCTTATTTTTGGATTATTCGAATGCACGGATATCTTTCGAACACTGATTACTACGGTTTATAGATACGGACTTGAAGAATATCTGAATAGTTTTATCAAATACGGCTGCTTTCCTACTAAAATTGCTTGGAAATATATTGTGAACAAAACAGTATCTGAGACGTCTGAACTTGAATGGAAACAGCGTATGTTAAGGCGAACAGATCTTACTCGCTTCCAAACCATACATCCAAGAATCGCCCCGCACAAACTCTGGTTGCTGTGTTTTGAATTAGATGATATGTGCAGAGAATTTGGATTTCTTGTGAAACTTGGAGCACTACCTATCACAAAATGTATCTGTGACTCGTGCAAGCAAAATGTGGATGATATTGTGAAACATCTAGTAATCGACTGTCGTATATATTTTGATGAAAGAGATAGACTACAAACAAGTATTGTAAATTTACTTCCGGTTGTACAGAGTGTCTGGATATTGAATGATGATGATAGGCTTATAAACTTCCTTCTTGGGGGAGATGATGATATGTTGGAAGTTAGTCCCGAACACTGGAAGATGCTAATGGTGGAATCCGCGCGGACTTTCTATAAAATGAAACCAGCGCTAGTGCATTGGCTACACCGCCTGTAGTGTAATTCAGTAATATTTAACAAAATTGCAAAATTTCTAACCTCATAGACTAAAACAATGAACAGTTAAATGTCAGAGGAAGATATACTTTCCTTCTGGACCAGATCACAACATATTAAATTATGTCCATGTATATTTATATTATCGTTTATGTTTTGAATTGATCTTCATGCGTTGGAGGAAATAAAGAAATTCAATTCAATTCAATTCAATTATAGGACCTACCAGTATATAGTACCTACCAGTATATAGTATCTACCAGTATATAGGACCTACCAGTATATAGGACCTACCAGTATATAGTATCTACCAGTATATAGTATCTACCAGTATATAGGATCTACCAGTAGATAGTATCTACCAGTATATAGGACCTACCAGTATATAGGACCTACCAGTATATAGTATCTACCAGTATATAGTATCTACCAGTATATAGGACCTACCAGTATATAGGACCTACCAGTATATAGTATCTACCAGTATATAGGACCTACCAGTATATAGGACAGTATATAGTATCTACCAGTATATAGTATCTACCAGTATATAGGACCTACCAGTATATAGTATCTACCAGTATATAGGACCTACCAGTATATAGGACCTACCAGTATATAGTATCTACCAGTATATAGTATCTACCAGTATATAGGACCTACCAGTATATAGTATCTACCAGTATATAGGACCTACCAGTATATAGGACCTACCAGTATATAGTATCTACCAGTATATAGTATCTACCAGTATATAGTATCTACCAGTATATAGTATCTACCAGTATATAGGACCTACCAGTATATAGGACCTACCAGTATATAGTATCTACCAGTATATAGTATCTACCAGTATATAGGACCTACCAGTATATAGGACCTACCAGTATATAGTATCTACCAGTAAATAGTATCTACCAGTATATAGTATCTACCAGTATATAGGACCTACCAGTATATAGGACCTACCAGCATATAGTATCTACCAGTATATAGGACCTACCAGTATATAGTATCTACCAGTATATAGTATCTACCAGTATATAGGACCTACCAGTATATAGTATCTACCAGTATATAGTATCTACCAGTATATAGGACCTACCAGTATATAGGACCTACCAGTATATAGTATCTACCAGTATATAGGACCTACCAGTATATAGGACCTACCAGTATATAGTATCTACCAGTATATAGTATCTACCAGTATATAGGACCTACCAGTATATAGGACCTACCAGTATATAGTATCTACCAGTATATAGTATCTACCAGTATATAGGACCTACCAGTATATAGGATCTACCAGTATATAGTATCTACCAGTATATAGGACCTACCAGTATATAGTATCTACCAGTATATAGTATCTACCAGTATATAGGACCTACCAGTATATAGGATCTACCAGTATATAGTATCTACCAGTATATAGTATCTACCAGTATATAGGACCTACCAGTATATAGGACCTACCAGTATATAGTATCTACCAGTATATAGTATCTACCAGTATATAGGACCTACCAGTATATAGGACCTACCAGTATATAGTATCTACCAGTATATAGGACCTACCAGTATATAGGACCTACCAGTATATAGGACCTACCAGTATATAGGATCTACCAGTATATAGTATCTACCAGTATATAGGACCTACCAGTATATAGGACCTACCAGTATATAGGACCTACCAGTATATAGTATCTACCAGTATATAGTATCTACCAGTATATAGGACCTACCAGTATATAGGACCTACCAGTATATAGGACCTACCAGTATATAGTATCTACCAGTAGATAGTATCTACCAGTATATAGGACCTACCAGTATATAGGACCTACCAGTATATAGTATCTACCAGTATATAGTATCTACCAGTATATAGGACCTACCAGTATATAGGACCTACCAGTATATAGTATCTACCAGTATATAGTATAGTACCTACCAGTATATAGGACCTACCAGTATATATATAGTATATCTACTACCAGTATATAGGACCTACCAGTATATAGGACCTACCAGTATATAGGACCTACCAGTATATAGATCTACCAGTATATAGGATCTACCAGTAGATAGTATCTAACAGTATATAGTATCTACCAGTATATAGGACCTACCAGTATATAGGACCTACCAGTATATAGGACCTACCAGTAGATAGTATCTAACAGTATATAGTATCTACCAGTATATAGTATCTAACAGTATATAGGATCTACCAGTATATAGTATCTACCAGTATATAGTATCTACCAGTATATAGTATCTAACAGTATATAGTATCTACCAGTATATAGTACCTACCAGTATATAGGACCTACCAGTATATAGTATCTACCAGTATATAGGATCTACCAGTATATAGGACCTACCAGTATATAGTATCTACCAGTATATAGGACCTACCAGTATATAGTGACTACCAGTATATAGGACCTACCAGTATATATATAGTATATATCTACCAGTATATAGTATCTACCAGTATATAGTATCTACCAGTATATAGTATCTACCAGTATATAGTATCTACCAGTATATAGTATCTACCAGTATATAGGACCTACCAGTATATAGTATCTACCAGTATATAGTATCTACCAGTATATAGTATCTACCAGTATATAGTATCTACCAGTATATAGTATCTACCAGTATATAGGATCTACCAGTATATAAGACCTACCAGTATATAGGACCTACCAGTATATAGTATCTACCAGTATATAGGACCTACCAGTATATATAGGACCTACCAGTATATAGTATCTACCAGTATATAGGACCTACCAGTATATAGTACCTACCAGTATATAGTATCTACCAGTATATAGTATCTACCAGTATATAGTATCTACCAGTATATAAGACCTACCAGTATATAGGATCTACCAGTATATAGTATCTACCAGTATATAGTATCTACCAGTATATATCTACCAGTATATAGGACCTACCAGTATATATATAGTATATAGTATCTACCAGTATATAGTATCTACCAGTATATAGTATCTACCAGTATATAGTACCTACCAGTATATAGTATCTACCAGTATATAGGACCTACCAGTATATAGTATCTACCAGTATATAGTACCTACCAGTATATAAGACCTACCAGTATATAGGATCTACCAGTATATAAGACCTACCAGTATATAAGACCTACCAGTATATAGGATCTACCAGTATATAAGACCTACCAGTATATAGTATCTACCAGTAGATAGTATCTACCAGTAGATAGTATCTACCAGTATATAGTATCTACCAGTATATAGTATCTACCAGTATATAGGACCTACCAGTATATAGTATCTACCAGTATATAGTATCTACCAGTATATAGTATCTACCAGTATATAAGACCTACCAGTATATAGTATCTACCAGTATATAGTATCTACCAGTATATAGGACCTACCAGTATATAGGACCTACCAGTATATAGTATCTACCAGTATATAGTATCTACCAGTATATAGTATCTACCAGTATATAGGACCTACCAGTATATACCAGATCTACCAGTATATAGTATCTACCAGTATATAGTATCTACCAGTATATAGTATCTACCAGTATATAGGACCTACCAGTATATAGGACCTACCAGTATATAGGACCTACCAGTATATAGGACCTACCAGTATATAGTATCTACCAGTATATAGTATCTACCAGTATATAGTATCTACCAGTATATAGGATCTACCAGTATATAAGACCTACCAGTATATAGTATCTACCAGTAGATAGTATCTACCAGTATATAGTATCTACCAGTATACAGTATCTACCAGTATATAGGACCTACCAGTATATAGGACCTACCAGTATATAGGACCTACCAGTATATAGGACCTACCAGTATATAGTATCTACCAGTATATAGACGGAAGATTGTACAAAAGACACACAAGCGAATAACACCTTAAATACAAATTTAGAGTTTAATACAGTAGGGCCAAACCATAAAACACTGCACCATACAGCTATTTCGTCTTTTAGATTCGTCAGTGATGCTAAATCATACAGCTGCTTCTTCCTTCTAGGACACGTCAGTGATGTTACATCATACAGCTATTTCGTCTTCTAGGTTCGTCAGTGATGCTAAATTATACAGCTGTATCGTCCTTCTAGGACTCGTCAGTAACGCTACATCATACAGCTGTATCGTCCTTCTAGGACTCGTCAGTAACGCTACATCATACAGCTGTATCGTCCTTCTAGGACTCGTTAGTGATGTTTTAAGTCTGAATTTTTAAAATGTAGAAGGTGAATGGGGAAAATAAACAAGAGGCCCAAGGGCCTTTACGGTCACCTGAGTCAAATGCATATTGTAACATGTCAAAGAAATGATTTTGTTAAAAAGTTAGAAACCTTAAACTGCATTGTACACATAATGCAAATGTAAATTTTGCATAACATTAACTGCTGTTCCATGCTAAGGCTTCTAACCAAGTTTGGAATCTTCCATTCAGGATCTCTTTGAAATTTCAGTCCCTGGGGTTCAGTCGTGACCAGTATATGCATCTCATCAAACTGGCTGCTTATACAAATAATTCTGATCAGGTTTGAAATTGTTTCTAAAAAAAAAATAAACAAATTATGCTCCCCCCCCCCACCCCACCATGCCCCACACCCCCTACAACCAACCCCCTGGTAAAACATGTGAGACCCAGGGGTCATGATATTTACAATTATGGTAAAACACCGTAAGAACTTCCGTCCGAGAAGAGTATTTGGTTCTACTTTATCTGGGTATTGAGAAGAAAACTTTTGCAATTTCAGTCTTTTTGGCCCCACTGGCCCTTGGGGTCAGGGATCATATCATTTACAATTTTTGTGTACTTATGTAGCCATGGGAGGTTGTTTGTAAAGTTTCATTGAAGTCGGAAAGTTTACGATGCAGCACAAAAGGGAATCGCCAGATCGCAATGATCGAAAGAAATTTCAAGACGGAGAGACGTGTTAGATCTTTAAGGCTATAAATTTCCCAGTATTTATATATCTGATAAGTAAAAGAACGTCAAGCACATGTTTATATCCTGAACCGTAAATAGGACATATATCGACCGTACTGTCTTACCTTAGCCAGACGGAGACTCGCGTCCGTGAAGTTCCAAAGTGTGTTCAGGGAATAGTAGGCCGGGAACCATATAGAGTCGTTTTTAAATATTCCTTTAGAATTCAGTGTCTTCAGCATCTTCATCGCTACCTCTACAAACGATGAGTGTAAGGCAAACATAATATCACAGAAAAGAGGAAAATACCTTTAGTTCTGTCAATATATAGAAACTGTAGCTATGCTGAATACATTGTCCTAGCTACTGGTTCTAATGAAATAACTAGCTGTTTAACTCATATCATCTGACATCAGTTCGCACAACTAGGCTTTTAACTCGTATAATCTGACATCAGCTCGTACAACTAGGCTTTTAACTCGTATAATCTGAGATCAGTTCGCACAACTAGGCCTTTAACTGGTATAATCTGACATCAGTTCGCACAACTAGGCTTTTAACTCGTATAATCTGACATCAGCTCGTACAACGAGGCTTTTAACTCGTATAATCTGAGATCAGTTCGCACAACTAGGCTTTTAAAATAAGATCCCCACCTACAATACTGCGAGACTGAAAGTCGGACCATACACCCTGAAATCTCGAGAATAATCGCGGATTGTGTTCTTTCAAATTAAGCAAGTACAGACTTGTTGATGCGGGAAACTACAGACTTACTTTCGTGATAGGAACATTTTCGAAGTTGGCTTGTTTTCGAGCTTTTAGTAATTTTTTGCAATTATTAAAATATCAAAGATAATGTTTATCCATATATATTAGATGATAAAATATTCCGGTTTATCGGCATATTGATATTTTATATCAACATGACGTTTAAATATATACAATAAAATTGAGAAAATGTATCAGAATTAGATCAGTATCCATGCTAACCACCAAATCCCGCCTCCGCTAATCCGTCTCCGATTTTTTTCCGATGAGGTCGGTACCCCCAGTAGGTATCGCCTAAAGCTTTTACAAGCTTCATTCCCAGACCGTCCTCATACGTATCAAGTCCTGCTAAAACCTTCACTATCTCTTTCGTACGGACTACCACCTCGGCTTCCTTTAAGTTCTTTACATTGGCTAGCTCGTCTATGTTAAGATCCCCGTTCATCATGTGGCTGGAGTCGGTGGACATGGCATTGGCTGGCGATTGGGAAACTGTTCGTTGATTGGTTAACATATCATGCGGAGACTTGGACGGCGAGTCTGATTGGCCGGTATCCACATCCATCATTTGGATGGAACCGTTCAGCGAGTCCTGGAGGCTCAGGGGACCATCTGTGAAGAGCAAGAATGACAGAAGTATTAATGATAATATATACTCTAAAAGTCTGATTTTCAAGGGTTCCATTACTCACTGTTTTGCAGGTTTGAATGAAACCACGAAAAAAAGATGTCTTGAAAACAACAAAGGCAACAGTATATCTATACTCAAAAATTATCCTTCTCAGTCGCAAAAAAACTCTTAAGCAAATGAAATATATCATCTTACATAACGAACCCCTGTTGTACGAGCAATAACATCTAGAAAGCAGGAATTCTCCGCGGCAAACAGTCTGGAGATTACATGTAAGCCATATAAAATAGATCCAACAGCACGTTCTGTAACGTCACGTGATGCACCAGACCGGAAGTTGTTCTGTCCGGTCCAGCTCCTCATGTGGCCGACAGACAATGGTCGATAATTAGGCCGATGTTGAAGGGTGTAAATATCTCTGCCGGCCGGGGCTCTCGAGAGACATCAAAGGATGAGTGTGATCAACCAGGCAGTATAAATTCTAGGTTTTTCACCGGATAAAAATAATGTCGTTACTTGTAGGAAATCTAAATAATATCTCATCACAACGACCTATAGAAATATCCTAGAGGTTATTGATGTGTTTTACTATCTAGTAAAGAATATGTTTGATGCTGTTAGACGAATTCCTGAAATCTTTATTTCTATGCTTAATTCAATAGCAATCGTTTCCATTGACCACCACACAGTTCAAACGGGCAAACTGAATTTTGATATTTCGTTAATGTAAATGACTTCCTGACAATAATCTTGTTGTAGACCATCCTTCTATAATGTAAAACGTAAGTTATATATATAAACGTTATATACATTTTGGATACTGTAACACCATCGTCACACAGTTTTTGACGCGTGTCCTGTCTGGGCCTCGACATCACGATCTACGGCACCAAATGCCTAGCCCAGAGATTCCATAACATTCACGTCATCCCATATATATAACTATCCAATATATTTTATACGTCACATATCACACCACGACACAGCTAACCTATATATATATATCTATCACTCTCGGTACACATGTGTAACTCCCTAAGGTTCTGTACGTCCTTGGAATAATGTTATGGACTTTGTATGAAGACTTTATACGTGTAACCATACGGATAATTTGACTTGTCTGGAAACATGCATGCTAACAACGTAGTTATCTACTTCTCAAGGGACAGCTATCTGTTGTTAGATTTTGTATATCAGTGACGTACCATCCTAGTAGAAAAACATACATACACATTGTTATGATATATATAAGGGATGCAGACATGATTTGTACGAACACTTGAAAGTAAATAGTTAGGTCTATGAAGGTTGTGTCCATGGATGATGATAATGATGAGAGAGAGAGAGAGAGAGAGAGAGAGAGAGAGAGAGAGAGAGAGAGAGAGAGAGAGAGAGGAGAGAGAGAGAGAGAGGTATATTATATAGATATATCATATAGAGTACATATTGTATAGATGTATTGTATAGATATATTATATAGATGTATTATAGAGAACACATTGTTTAGACAAGAAACAATAGCTCTCCTGTATCATGTTTGAGTGTGTATGACGATTACACAGCCGTTAAGGAATTATTTCAGATAAAAAATAAATATAAGATAGACGATAGACCATCAACATCAACTGGTTTTTTATCTATAACACTGAAGGTATGAAGATTTCAACCTTCACTGCCATTGTGTAACCTTACCTGTTATCATTACCTTATCATAACGACAAGAAATAGTATGTTAACACAGTGTGTCAGCGACGTTCGGTGGATATTGAAGTACAATTCATTGTACAAACACTAATAAGTGAATAATTCCTTTCAATACAAATAAATTGTACACAGTGGAGTGAAACAATAAATTACAATCTTTCTAGATGTCGTTATTAATTCAATTTAATTGTTGAAGCCTATGTTGTGATTGAGGAATTAAAATAATAAGAAAATACCAACATGGCAACATAATTCAAATTCAAATTCCATAAAACTAGGGCAAAATATCAACAAACCGATTAAAATAAATCTCAAACAGACACCGTTACACATACAATAAAGTAGATAGTGTGTTAGCAAGTCTCTCGTGTGTATTGATGTTAACATGGACGTTTCCGTGAGATATTACAAACCTATTGTACTGTATTGTATAATATGTACAGAAACTAGATGTAAACATTCCACATGAATTCCACACGAAATATCAGAAGGAGAAAGAAGTAAATATAAACAGGAAATCCATCAACTCAATGTTACAATCAGACACGACACATGTACAATATCTGTTAGAACCACAAGTGGCTTCCGTCAACATGTTTCCTGTCCAAAACAGGAAGTACGTCTTACTATGTACAAGCAGATGTAGAATCAGACGTCAGTGAAAAGACAAGTGTAAGGTCGGTCACGTAGATTTTAGATAAATGGTAAATCAGTATCAAACACATTTCAGGTTATCTGTAAACTTCTACCCGACAGGAATAGCGATTTTTTTTACCATTTTAAGATCTGATATTAGGAGATGAATCATCACCAGTATTCGAAATGAAGGATAACAACATTCATAGGGTGATTCAGCTTTAAAGTAAAAGCGGGATTAAGTCCGAGTAGCTGTGATGTTATTGTAATCTTCAATCCTGACTTGTTATCTAAATCTGTTATACTTGTTGGATTCTGATTATTTCTACCATTATACATATATAACATCTGTTATATGAGCAGTAGTTTTTTTTAGGAATAAGTCTACCTGCTATAACTTCATGTTTCATGGTGACGTAACAATATATGACTTCTTGAATTATGACGTCACAATTGAACCAATGGGAAACGTCTGTCAATCATAGTACTGCTAGGTATCATTAAATCTGCTTTTGAAAAAAAACTGGTGTATTTTATTGAACTGTTTTTTAGTGATATATCATCTTCATTTAATATTTTGGAAAAAAGCTTTGTAGATACCCTCCACCCACCCAAAAATCCACCCAAAAACCCGAAAACACCAACATATCAATAGAATCATAATCCAAACTCAAATTCAATAACGTAGCATACTGAAGGCTTATATTTACATTCCCTGAACACGTCATGGTGTAATTCCGATAACAACTGGATTTAATTTTTTTGAACCATTACTCAATATCGACATTGTAATCCGTGAACCGTGACTGTGACGGTCTCTATATCCCCTATAAAGACGTAATAGTCACGGAATCATTTCATATCAATGTTTCTATCCAATGTAAAATTTATAAACGGTTTAATTACATGATGAAAGAAATATGTACAGAACGTGAGTACTTGTAGAATAGTCCTGTGTTTCATAAATACCACTGGGTACACAAACATCTCATACATACCAAAGGCAAACATCACTGTCTACACCGGATTGTCCTGTAAACCACAGAAATCTCCCCACTACGTCCGACAGTACAACTGTCCTGTACCACAACGGGGTCGTGAAGTACAGTCGGTCAGACAACAATGTCAATCTTCCCACGAACTCTGACGTGTAACACAACAATCGTTCTATTCCATCAATGTCCCTGGAGTAATCCTCTTCACAAACCAGGAAATCGGAAATATTTTCTTATTAACAACATTTCAAAACCGGGACCAACAACCTGTTGATAATATTGTACAAAGACTTGTGATAAATATGTTACTATCTCACGCCTCTCCAATCCGTTAAAACCCGTGGATATCGCTTCTATTAGGGTATAAAATTCTTGTAAATGCCATGTAAACCTATTTATAAAATCGCTATCGTGTTATAACCATACAAGATACTACACCATCAATCAATATCGGGGCAGCATCATACAAGCCCAGGGTCTTACATCATCAATTACATGAACCAAAGATGGCGCTTCTAAACACATTAAAGTGCAGCGCCACCTAGTGTCTCTGATTGGATTCGTTATATGGACTCGTTGATTGATTGGCGAGGCTGAACATTTTGGTTTCTGTTATAAAGATAAACGAACGGACGGTCAATGCCCGCCTACGTCAACAAAGTATCGATTACCTCGGAACCCCTCGGGTATTTACATAGTCCGGTTCGGTCAACAATAAACCGACAGCATCAGAGCCAATTGTTGGCAGCATAACTATAGGAATTTCTGAAAAGTTGGTTATCTTACTATAAACAACAAATACAAATGTCTCTTGTATAAACTTCATCCAAAAATAAAACAACTTACGGGTGTATATTCTAATAAATATCAAATTTTGTTCAAAATGGAACAGTATCTCGGTCAAAAATTGATGAAGAACCTTTATCCAGTTGCCTTGTAATAAACGATATACAGTGTCCTGTAATCACACGTGGGGTGGGGAGAAACAGGCGACGCATAAGTATAGAAAATAACAAAAATAAAATAACGACATCAGTATAAACATAATCCAAACTCACACTCAAGAAAACTAGGACAAAATGGGAACAAAGATTTACACGGAGGCTTGGGAAACGGGTGGGAAACGGTCATAATACAATTTGTAAAATGTTAGAGAGGGGTGGGGGATAAATGAAAGATAATTTATAAGAGACAGATAAAGTATGTGTGGGAAAGGGGTCATAATACAATTTGAAAAATGTTAAAGATGTGTGTGAGGGTGAAGAGGGGTGGGATAGATATGTGGAAAGGACAGATAAAGTATGTGTGTAAGGGGGTGAAGATAAATGATAAATGAAAGATAATTTATAAATGATACAGATAAAGTATGTGTGTGAGGGTGTGAAGAATGATAAATGAAAGATAATTTATAAATGATACAGATAAAGTATGTGTGTAAGGGGGTGAAGAGGGGTGGGATAGGGGAGGACTTGAAGATATGTGATAAATGAAAGATAATTTATAAATGATACAGATAAAGTATGTGTGTGAGGGGGTGAAGAGGGGTGGGTGAAGATATGTGATAAATGTGATACAGATAAAGTATGTGTGTGAGGGTGTGAAGAGGGGTGGCATAGGGGAGGAATTGAAGATATGTGATACAGAAT